TCAGCCAGGCCTGGCAGCAAGTGCCTGTAATTCCAGTTACTTGGGAGGCTGAGGCAGGAGAATTACTTGAACCAGGGAGGCAGGGGTTGCAGTGAGTAGAGATTGCGCCACTGCACTCCAGCCTGGCCAACAGAGTTAAGACTCCATTTAAAAAAAAAAAAAAAAGGATATTTACTTTGAGCAACATCCCCACCTAGTGGACTTCTAGGATATTGTTAACACCATTTCTGCTGTATTGCACTTTTCACAAGCATAGGTACAAACACAATGTAGGTACATATACTAAATGCTATATCCTTAGCTAATCAAAAAGTACATTATTTTAAAATTGGAGAAAGTAATATAACTTGAAATAACCTTGGAATTTTAAGTTATCATCTCTATAACTGGTTATTAAATTTCCCTATACCATCTAGTTGGAATAACTTCAAATTCTGGATAGAAGTTTAATAATACAGGTAGTGGCTTTATGAGGCAGTAATGAGAAAGAAACCAGTGGAATGAGACGATGGTTTAGGAAAGAAGCATAAATAAGACATTGTTAAAGCTTTATTAACCCATCTATTAATAACATATATCTCTTTAAAAAAATAGTCTTAAAGCCTCAGATTCTCCCTTTTCCATTATTACCTTTTTTGAGCTGTACACAATGTGGCACAATATGCATTTTCGTTCTCGTACCATAGTGACCAGATCTGAAGCACGCAACGTCACACCTGCAATGAGAAAGTAACATTTAGTAACCTTTTCTCCTCAGACACCTTCTGACATTCATCTTCAAAATTACAAGTCTTGTGTCTTCCTCACCTCCACCTTGCTCCTCCCCCAGTCTTGCCAAGCTTCCAGGTACATAGGGTAAACATTTTGGGAGCCATCCTTGATCCTTCTTTTTCACCCCATATCCACCCTCATTAGCAAACTACCAGTCCTACCTTGAAATGCAGCCAAACTCCAACCACCTCTCACCACCCAGCACATCTATTATCTCACATGGCATTACCCTACTACTGACGCTACTCCTTCCTTCTGCTCTTATCCTCTCACAGCTGTACCCGAAGACTCTTAGAATTCTTTTATTTATTTTATTTTTTTGGAGACGAAGTTTCACTTTTGTTACCCAGGCTGGAGTGCAATGGCGCAATCCCGGCTCACCGCAACCTCTACCCCCTGGGTTCAAGCAATTCTCCTGCCTCAGCCTCCCGAGTAGCTGGGACTACAGGCGTGAACCACCATGCCCAGCTAATTTTTGTATTTTTAGTAAAGATGGGATTTCACCGTGTTGACCAGGATGGTATCGATCTCTTGACCTTGTGATCCACCCGCCTTGGCCTCCCAAAGTGCTGGGATTACACGCGTGAGCCACTGCACCCAGCCAGAAAAGGATTCTTTTAAAGTTTAAGTTAGAAAGGCTGGGCACAGTGGTTCACGCCTGTAATCCCAGCACTTTCGGAGGCCAAAGTGGGCAGATCACGAGATCAGCAGTTCGAGACCAGCTTGGCCAATTTGGTGAAACCCCATCTCTACTAAAAATACAAAAATTAGCTGGGCGTGGTTGGTGCACACCTGTAGTCCGAGCTACTCGGGAGGCTGAGGCAGGAGAAGTGCTTGAACCCGGGAGGTGGAGGTTGCAGTGAGCTGAGATTGTGCCACTGCACTCCAGCCTGGTAACAGAGCAAGACACAGTCTCAAATAAAAAAAAGCTTAAGTTAGAACATATACAGGTTGAACATTCCAAATCTAAAAATCTGAAATCCGAAATGATCCAAAATCAGAAACTGTTTTAATGTCAAAGTGATGCTCAAAGGAAATGCTCACTGAAGCATTTTAGATTTTGAATGTTCGATATGGGATGTTCAGCCATTAAGTATGCAAATATTCCAAGATCCAAAAAAGTCTGAAATCCACAACACTTTTGGTCCCAAGCATTTCAGATAAAGGAATTCAACTTGTATGTAATTCCTCTGTGTTCAGAACTTTCCAGTGGCATCCATCTCACTCACAGAAAACCTAGTCTTTGCCATGGCTACAAAATCTTTTTCTCAGCCACACATGGTGCCTGACATCTGTAAACCCAGCACTTTGGGAGGCTGAGGTGGAGGATCACCTGAGGTTAGGAGTTTGAGACCATCCTGGCCAACATGGTGAAACCCCATCTCTACTAAAAATACAAAAAACTAGCCAGGCATGGTGGCATGTGCCCGGGAGGCTGAGGCATGAGGATCATTTAAACCCAGGAGGTAGAGGTTGCAGTGAGCTGAGATCATGCCACTGCACTCCAGCTTGGGCGACTGAGTAAAATTCCAACTCAGAAAAGAAAAAACATATATTTTTCCCTCTTCCTGACTGCATGCTCTGCTGTTCTTCCTCTGTCATTCTAGTGCACGTGCATTGCCCTCACTGCTATTCCTTGATCACATCACAGATCCTCACACCTTACCGCCTCTACATTTCCTGTTCTCTGTCTGGAATATTCTTCCTTAAAAAGTCCTTATGGTTCCTGTGGCTCATTCATTTCCATCAGGTATCTAAAATATTGCCTTATAGGAGAGGCGCTGCCTGACCCTCTATATAATATTGCACTTTCTGACACTCCAACTCTCCACACTGTTCCAGTTTCTCTATTCCCCTATTAATTGGCTTAATTTTTTTTATAGCATGTGGTAGATTACGTTTCCCTAAAAGGTCTCAACAATATCTGCTACCCCATGTACTCTTGTGCAATGTGATCTTGCACAAAAAGGCAGATAAAGTCTGTTTTCCTTCCATGTGAATTATTTTGATCAATAAAATGTGGTAGAAATGATGCTGTGTAACTTATGAGCCTGGGCTTTCAGGAATCTGTACCTTCTGCCTCTGTTCACTTGTTATGCTCCCTCTTGAAAGCCAGCCACCGTGCTGTGAGAAGCCAAAGCCACAGGGAAAGGCCTGGTAGAAAAGAAGAGGCCCCCACTGAGCACTCAAACAACAATGAAGACCAACTGACAGCCAGAAGCAGGAATCATCTTGGGGGCTCCAGGTCCAGGCACCAACGACAGACTTGGGGAAGTGAGACCCATACATAAACCATCCAAAGAAGTCCTTTTTAACCCAGAGAATTGTGAGACACAATAGTTGATTTCAGGCAGTAAATTTTGGAATAGTTTATGAACATGCGATATCTGAAATGTATCTTTTACTACATGACATTGTATGTATTTGTTATTATCTGTCTCTGCCAATTACAATTTAAATACCCTAAGAAAAAGGACTTTGTATATTTTGTTCACGCGTACAGTTCTGTCTATGACCTATCATAAGCAATTCAAAAGTATTTGCTGATTATTCCAAATGGAACTATCCATCTTGGATTACTAAATGTGAGAACAAGCTGAGTCAATACTGGGGTTTGAGGCCAGGCACAGTGGCTCACACCTGTAATACCAGCACTTTGGGAGGCTGAGAAGGGTGGATCACAAGGTCAGGAGTTCAAGACCAGCCTGGTCAAGATGGTAAAATTCCATCTCTAATAAAAATATTAAAAAAATTAGCTGGGCATGGTGGTGGGCTATAAATCCAGCTACTCCAGAGGTGGAGGCAGAGAACTGCTTGAACCCAGGAGGCAGAGGTTGCAGTGAGTCAAGATCATGCCACTGCACTCCAGCCTGGGTGACAGAGCGAGACTTCATCTCAAAAAAAAAAAAGTAGCTGCCAGCAAAGTAAAGTATTAAATCAATAAGGAAAACTTAGTATTTAAACCCTGAGGTGACAAGATTTCAGACAAAGTAACTTTAGTTTGTATATTCTTAAATTGGGGAAATAGATAAACTCCATTAAGCTTTCCAAAATACTGTAATTAGCGTAGACTTCTAGATGGGAACCACTGATCTCTTTAAAGGCCTTGACGAAGACTAGAAGCCAAGGAAATACAACCCATCCAACTCTGTGATCTCAACAAGGTAACAGAATTCACAAAATAAAAGTAAATAAGCAATTCAAACCTACTGCCATCCTCACTTTAGCCACCTTACTTTTCCCCTATGTCAATTAAATATACCCTTCATGAAATTTTTCAACTCTTCTCTAAATAACTATGAGAAAGACCTGTGATATTTGTTAGATCTAATATCCTAAAAACCCTGTCCTAGGTATTTTTTTCTCAATATCCTAATTACTATTCTGTCAATAAAATTACCATTCTCCCTAGGCAAAACCATACCACATCTGGTTTTCTTTTAGACTCTCATACTTAGTCACCAAGTCACTCACCCCTAGACAAGGAAATAGATAGGGCAGATCACAGTCTGATTCTTTAACTCAGAATTATAACTAGTGTCAGTTTCCAATTCCTAATTCTGGAACTTTGGAAGCATTCTGCCCTAGAGGAAAAACTAATCCAGAAATAAGGTGGGATAACACAGACCCTAACAAGGGAATAATACTACTAGCAAAAGTTATCATCTAACAGAGTAAGCTATAAGCCCAAGACAGCTTGTAAAAAGACTGTTATAAAACTGTAACCAGATAGCTTGTTGCATTTATTTAATAGTTCAAAGTTTGTATTTAACAGTGTCATTTATATACATATTTTTTCCCAAAGGTTCACATCGTAATTGAAAACTGTGACATCAATCATAAGCACTGCAAGCTAATGAATGAGTCTATATGATCACTATTCTTCTCAAAGAATTTTGTTGTTCTCCATTCATCTCACTGTTTGTTTTTGAAACAGAGTCTCACTCTTGTCACCCAGGCTGGAGTGCTGCATGATCTTGGCTCACTGCAACCTCTGCCTCCCAGGTTCAAGCAATTCTCCTGCCTCGGTCTCCCACATAGCTGGGATTGCAGGCTCCCACCACCACACCCAGCTAATTTTTGTATTTTTAGTAGAGACGAGGTTTCACCATGTTGACCAGGCTGGTCTCGAACTTCTGACCTCAGGTGATCCACCAGCCTCGGCCTCCCAAAGTGCTGGGATTATAGGCATGAGTGGGTTAACAGTACCTTTAATAATCTTTATTTTGTTCATGTACAAAAGAACATTTATTTACATAAAACGGAATTGGATCATCATAAAGGTCTTCATCCTCAGTTTTCACCCTCAGTTTTCACACTGAATACACTGAGGAGGAAGCAGGGGAGGGGTTGGTCTTGCTGTCTCCGCGGTGGCAGAGGCAGAGAAAAATCTGTTTATAAGTGGACCTGTGAACTGCAAGTCTGTGCAGTTCAAGGATCAACCGTATATATTTTCTCTTCCTTAAGATGTCCTTAATAATATTTTCTTTTCTCTAGCTTACTTTATTGTAAGGATACAGTATATAACATCTGTAACCTATAAAATATGTGTTAATTAACTGCTTATGTTATCAATAAGGCTGCTGGACAACAATAAACTATTAGTAGTTAAGTTTTGGGGGAGTCAAAAGCTATACATGGATTATTAACTTCACAGGGTATCGGTGCCCCCAACCCTTGAGCTGTTCAAGGGTCAACTGTATTTTTCTTTATCAGTCTATCTACGGGTTTGTTAATATTATTAATATTTTCAAAGAACCAATTTTGTCATTTTGTCTATTGTCTTTTTCTCTTCTTTTTTTTTTTTGAGATGGAGTCTCGCTCTGTCGCCAGGCTGGAGTGCAGCAGCGTGATCTTGGCTCACTGCAACCTCTGCCTCCCAGGTTCAAGCGATCTCCTGCCTCAGACTCTCGAGTAGCTGCAACTACAGCTGCGTGCCACCACA